AAAACTGGTCAATGTTCAGGGTCATAAGAAATGCAAGGAGGGAATATAAACGCCTTTAGACCACAGAGCGATTCATCGACTTATTCGTCTTACCAAGAAATGAAGGGCTGCCGCAGGCAAACTGAATACACAGATACACTAAACTAAATCTGAGACTCGCTACAAGAAGAAGATAAAAAATAAACAATGACACTGTGCTTGGTTTTCTGGATTTCCGTTACAACAGAATGAAAAGCGCAGAGCGTTACGATCTAGCAAAACTCAAATCGATGGAGTCCCTTGCAGAATATTTATTCACTCACGTTGTAAAGCACGGAGTCATAATCCTAAAGGAGGTTGCGCATGTAGCGAGAAAAAAAAGACTCCCTGATTTCGAACTCACATATTGTGTGCAAGGTTTGAACATAACTACCTTACAAAACTCGATTACAGAAAATGGGAATCGGTTAAACAGTTTGTACCGATACAAAGCTATCGTCCGTTGCATACATTTAGTCGCACGTATCTTGCAGCAAGGATGCAAATTTAGTAGCTAACCGAAGGTGATCAAAATATCAAATCAAACTGTTCACCATCAGCCAGCTACTAAATTTGCATCCGTGCTGCAGGATATAAAAAATTACCAGCCTGTGATACTGCCAAAATACTTCTGATATTGCGCAAAAAAAAACCAATAACAACAATTACTAATATTTTTAACCATGTTAACCATGTTAACACTGACCCAGGTGTTCCTCGCACATTTAGTCGGCGTTTTTTTTAAAACAAAGCTATAGCTACCCAAAATACATTAGCGATGTTGCATCGAAAATTCTTGAGGAAAAAAAACGTAATTATCAGATGTTTTGTCTGAATTTATCTTCCTGAAATTGGGTTTCCTGTGGTGAAAGTTGAAAATCTTTATTTCCAATTTTTCTCATCTTTCACCGAACCGATTTTGACGGATTTTTAGTATGTTGTTGAATAGCCATCCAACAATTAAATGGCGTTGAAAAAAATTATGTTGCAATTGTTTTGATGCTAAACCAGAATTTGACTGGACTAAATCAGAGAAAACATCTCGTTTAACTGTAGGAAGATGGCGCAACGTAACCGTTAGCCCTATTCAGAGCGGGCTTTCATTTGCTTAATTCCTGCAACCCGCTTATAACGCGATCCAAACTCAAATGTGCCGTTCCGATTTGGACAAATTCCGAGTAAACAAAAAGGTACACGCTAAAACTGACTTATTTTTCCGCGTAAAGTTTTAACTTACATCAGAAAATAATTTTTGAACGTAGCAGTATCTCAAGTTTGTTCGAAAAACAATGTAAAATACGATCAAAACAGAATGGACAGTTTTTTCGGCAAGGGAACATCAGCACTTAACTCCACGGATAAGTTTTCACTTTCGCTCCAAATAGAAAAGTTAATGTAAAATTTACAAGAACGATTTGTTTCTTTGCTCGGAATCCTAAATTCCTTCCAAGTGAATAGCAAAGTTACTGTAATTCCAACTTTATAAACTGTTTTTTTAATCTCCTATCATGCTAAAGGACTCCGGCGAAAATTCTGAATTTCTGATTTCCATAAAAACTTGGAAAGAAAACGTTCAGAAATTCCGATCCCCATAAAAGAAGTCCAAAAAACACTCTGATATTCTTATCCCCATAAAGAAGTCCAAAAAACATTCAGAGATTTTGATCCCCGTAAAGAAGTCAAAAAAACGTTCAGAAATTCTAATCCCCATAAAGAAGTAAAAAAAAAAAAAAACTCAGAAATTCTGATCCCCATAAAGAAGTCCAAAAACATTCAGGACTTCTAGTTCTCACAGAGAACACCAAAAAAGTAAGAAATTCTCAGCCCCATTAGGATGTCAGTGACAAAAATCGGAATTTCTGATCTCCATAAAGAACTAGAAAATGATAATAATAGGAAAAAAATATTAAAAAATTTTGATCTCCTTCAGATTACGTTCTACTGTTTTCCCACCACCACCACCACCACATGTCCATTGCTTTCCCACCACCACCACCACCACATTTCTATGGTGCTGGTGAATGGTGAACAATAGAAATATGGAGTTGGTGGTGATGGTGGAGGAAAAACAATAGAAGTGTGGTGGTGGTGGAAAAAAGTCAAAAAATTGTTTTTCGTGGTAGAAAGAGCTAGCTTGTCTTCGTCCTCATTGAATATTTAAGATTTTCGCGCTAAGAATCAGTGAACCGGAGCTGGAACAATTTGTTGGGCAATGAAAGCAGAAGGAAAGAAGCTCGAAATTAAAAGAAAGACCTTTGTCGATTTTAGAATAACTAGAAATCTTGTCCAAACAATTAATCCACCTAAAAAGAGCACATGACCTTATCTTAATGAATTCCTTCCTTATTCATGAAATAAGGACAAAGGAATAACGTCGTCGGTGGTCGTCGTCTGTCCTCCTTAACTCTTAACTCTCTTAACCGTCCAAGCTATCCAAACGTACCGACTTTTCCTAAAAAAAATTTTCTTGGAATATTTCAAAGTCATCTTTACGTTCACGTGTACTTAACTCACTTTCAACTTAACTCACTTTCCCTTTGACAGACAAGTTTTTCAAAATTTGCTTGGGTTCAATTTTTATCAGTGATAATTTCTTTCGGAATTTCATAACTTACGGATTTTTTTGCTTTCTAAGAATCCTTCTTCTACACACAGATCAATTTTTCTATAACGTTTACCTCGATTTATACGGGTTTCAGGTAAAATAGAATACGTCCATTAATTCAAAATGGCGGACCCAGATGGCGATGGTTGTAAGAGCTGACAATGAATGACGTCATCATGACATCACCGCTGTTATTATAGATCATTAATGTGTTTCCCCACTTCTTTATTTAGTCAGACATCTCACTTTTTGAGTATTTTCCGCTTTGAGGGGAAAAATTGATGGGATTTGGATTTTGCCGATAAATTCAACACTATGACGTCATAATGACGTCAAACACGTCATTATGCCTATCAAGGTAAGACTAGATGTTGCAAATAATAAGAACATTATTCTGTGTAATTTTGGTAGCCGTATCAAGCGTTGTTTTGAAGTTATAGAGGGGGCTCGACTCAAAACAAGTAGCACGTTTGGTTGCCCGTTTTACCGTACCTTTCCGTATTTCTGCACCCGCATCTGAAAATTAAACCCAGCAGTCTTGTTCGTCTCCTTGGACGTAAAGTAAGTTGGGTCCATTCCGCACAAATCATTATACATTGCGACTACAACCTTATACCACAAAGGGAGTATGGGGGAACTACAACAAGTGCAAGAGGGTAACGCTAACTTGGCAAAAAGCGGCTAAAAGTTACAAAACGGCTGTTTTATTATTGAACTGCTTGATAAGTTATCTAAATTTTCTTACATACACCAAAATATCTCTTTGAATTATTTATCGTTCAAGTCTTTAGAATACCAACTTACTGAACGACTCTTTAAAAGTGATTTTACACGGTACGATCCGCAACGACGATTTTTAGCGCAACACAGCGTCCCAATGTTGGAACAATGTTGTGCTACGCTAAAAATCGTTGTTGTAAATCGTGTCGTGTAACATCACCTTAGTTTCAAGGAATTGTCACATTTTTCTAACACCAATAAACATGATTCCGTTCCCGAGAGTGAAAGAAAGAGAGAATCGAAAGAGTTTTAAAGCCAATGCATCAAGGCTTACGTTAAAAGCTACCGGCCACGTGTTTCCCTTGGGCGACTACATCTTTTAGCACTTCAAGCACCACCCAGTGAACGACAATGAATGTCGATAGAACGGGCAAAGCGCAAAAATAATTGCTTATTAAAACGCCGTCTTAAGTTAACCATTTTTTTCAAATTTTGTTTCTATTTGTAAAAACTTAGACGCATTCTGTGGGTAAAATCGTATGCTCATGAGCCAAAATGTACACAATAACGTCACGTCATGTAAGAAGGCCCTAAAAAATGGCGGAACATGCCACACGATGAAGAGAAATCTGGAAACAATATGAGAATCACGTTATACTGCAAAATGTCATAGAACCTCAAGCTATTATTTTGATTTCCTTGCATTTCAAATAAAATCATAAATAATAGCATCACCTACAAAACAACCTTGAACAAGAAGGGAAATTTAGCCTACACTTCAAACGAATTTTTACTAAAATAATTACATATTTACAATACAATTATAACTGAACTTTCCAGAATTAAATGATAGTCGTACTTTCCCCATGAAAAGTCACCATACTAAATATACGAAAGACGATAAAAAAGATAACCGCCCAAGCCACTTCCCTCGGTGAAGACCTTTCCAAACTTGAAAATATGTTACTAAAAGTGAAACTCCTTAATCATGGATAATGATGACATCGTAAAATTGTATTTATTAACGAAGTTTTCATATCAAAATTAGTGAAGTTCACATGACTTTTGGGTTCCTATAACTAGTAAACTGCAGGCAAAGAAAGGTCTGCGTCAATGCATTTTTTGTCTTTTTTGAGAAACAATAATTAGGTGCAATCACTTACACAGTCCCCGTCCTCGCCAGATCCAATCCCCTCCATTGCCACCCAGCCTCACTTTGGTAGAGCCAGAAGCCCCCTAACCGCAGCGAGCAACTCCCACACTAGCCGTACATCACCGCGTTTACTTTCAGCCGCATCTTTTTGTGTTTGTGCAAATAATCCGGTTTTTGGGGGTGGTGGGATGCGGTTGGGGGAAATCTGTCTATACAAACGCCATGAAACGAACACATGGCAGTTGAAGGCTCCAGGTTTTGGACTCCCGTTTACGCCCATCTTTGAGGTCAGAATTTGTATTTAAATTACTAGATCATCTACCCCCCCCCCTCTCCCCCCCCTGGCCCCACCCCGGACCCTATCCCCTTCCTCCCTTGTTCGCCTACTTAACTGATCGTCTGAAAAAAAAAAAAATTTTAAAAAAAAACAATCAACAAACGTAATCGCCTACTGTATTGATCTCATATATCCATATAACCTTATAGCTACCTTGAACCACCCCG